TCGAGGGACACTCAGCTGGACCTCTACAAATCTCTTATCAGATCAAAAATTGACTATGGTTGTGAGGCTTTTCATTCAGCATCAAATACTGTCTTGAGGCGCCTAGACAGAATACAATACAAAGTCCTAATGCTGGCCACAGGCGCAGCATCAGGCACCTCACTAGAAGCACTACAAGTAGAAACGGGAGAACTCCCATTGAAACTAAGAAGACAGCAGGCAATATTATCGTTCTGGGGACGAAAACCAAACCCTTTGGTTAAAAAGACATGGCAAGACAAAAACACTCGAGATGAAGCCCTAGCTCGAAAAAATCCCTCACTAAAGCAATCTGGGATATTAGTACGTGAACTCATTCGAAGTCACAATTGTGATGTCATTCAGCCTCCAGAAAGTCACTACAAAGGGTTACACCCTCCCTGGACTCCCAAAGTTGACACTGCTTTAACATCAGAAGTCACTAAAAAAGAAAACCCAACCCTACTACGATCAGTAGCTATCACTAAAATTCAAACTACCTGAGACAGCTGGGCCCATATATACACTAATGGATCCAAGAATCCTATCAACAACAGTGCTGGTTACTGGATCCATATCCACAGCTCCAAACCCCAAGCACATTCAGTTCGCTTGCCTGATGGTCAGTCAGTATTCACGGCTGAACTGGAGGCAATTCATCATGCACTCAAACTCAAACCGGAACTTCCGGAAGCAAAGGCAGTCGTCCTATCAGACTCGCTAAGTGCACTTCAGGCCATCAGTGGCAGAAACTCAAACTCCAGGCCAAACACAGTCATCAATATTCTATACGAATATACACAACTATCGGACCAAGGGCGACAGGTGGAGCTGTGTTTGATCCCCTCTCACATAGATATTCATGGAAATGAAAAAGCAGACTCACTGGCGAAGCCAGCTCTAGACAAAGCGGATATACAGCCTATTCCCTTTAGTAAACTAGAGATAAAAATCAAAATCAAAACCTCCATAGCAGAAAGATGGCAAGCCCAATGGGACGCAAGTAAGATCGGCAGATGGCTATACAAAATTCAACCCAAGGTCCAACAAAAGCCAAACTCATCCTCAAATGAAAGGAAAATTGAAATTGCTATCTCACGCCTCAGACTCGGTCACAAAAAGCACTATGACAAGGTTTGTCCATCTTGCAATCAGGCTGAAAACATTGATCACGTGTTACTAGAATGTCAAGACCATGCCCCAGTCCGGGCTAGGTTAAAACAAGAATTGCAGTTATATCCGCTATCTGTCATAGATCTCATAAAGCCAAGAGATGCAATAGCGAAGGCCAAACTAACTTTATTTCTGAGAGATGGACAGCTACTCGAACGTATATAAACAGAGCAGCCAAGGATAAATATGAAATCATATCAATATGAGAAAATAGAAATCATATCAATACAAAAACAGAAATTATGTGAACACCAAACTCACAATAGATATGTGTACCCTACTCACACACAGGAGTCCCAAAGAGGGACAGGTCAGCCGAAATTGCCTAGGCAGAAAACGACCTCTTAAACACTTAATGCAACAACAACAACAACACTCTGTATATCACTAGCTTGATAACTGTGTTAGAACCTACACCGAAACGTCGTTCTTAATTGTAATAAAGAAGTTGTTTATACATAAATTCTTATCCTTACTTAGTACTCCAACTTCTAAATGCCTATCAAAGAAGTCACTGACCTTTACATCAACATCTTCACTAACAATGATTGGAGATAAAAATGTGCTAGATTTAGAAGTGACTCTGGTGGGCTCAACAATAACATTCCTAAGGCTTGTATTTTTTCTGTGTAAAATTTCGTTTCTATGATTTTTTCTGTTAGATAATGAATTTTCATTTAAATCACCGACAATCACCATTTTATTAGATATATCCAATGCAACTTCGATAGAATTATCTAAACGACTCCAAAACTGTATAGAATTGTGTTTCGGTCTGTAAACAACACAGAGTAATAAAGGCCCTTGAGGAAGAAATATTTTTATCCATATACTTTCATCAGTAATATTTTCTAGTTCGTGCATTCTCTTGTATGTTAAACACTTAGTGATATATAGCATAACCCCTCCCCCAAAAGGATTTCTATCTTTCCGTACTGGATCATGAAATGATTGCCACAGTTTCATTGTCTGCAGATTCATCCAGATGTGTTTCAGTGAAACAAACTACATCATGATAATACAAATGATAATACTTATAAAGTGAAAACAAGTCATTCCGCTGATAAGACATATACTCTTAAAACAAAAGAAACGGAAAACGGATATTTTTGGCCATAAAAGCAAAATTAGCGGACCAAGAGGTGCAACATGAAGAGGTTTAATGTGTTATAGTGTGAGTGACAAATTTCACGGAATGAAATTATCACAACAAGGACATGCAAACCATTAGTCGGGAAACACGTACCAACAACGACTGCATTGGTGTCGTCAATGAAGGGTATGACCTTAACTGCGATGGAGAGATGTCTGGTTCAGCGACGAATCAAGATTTCTCCTCCGTCAAGGGGATGGAAGAGCACGGGTCTACAGACGTCGAGGAGAACGTTACGCCGGAAACTGCGTACAGGAAGTGAACAGGTTTGGTGGGGGTAGCGTTATGATGTGGGCGGCTATCTCTCACCATGGCAGGACAGGTTTGGTCCGTATCCAGGACAATGTTACGGATCAATGATACATCAACGAAATTCTCCTACCACACGTCCTCCCAATTGCAGCCAACGGCAACGATGTATCCAATGCAGCAGGACAACGCTTGACCACAGACAGCGCGGATCACAAGAGCCTGTCCACACAACAACAACGTTGATGTTCTCCCCTGGCCCTCCAGATCCCGGGATTTGAACCCGATAGAGCACCTGTGGGATGAATTGGATAGACGGCTACGCCGACGTCAACCACAACCCTAGACGTTGCAGCAGTTGGCCTTTTCGTTGCAGGGCGAGTGGGCTATCATTCCCAAGGATGCGATTCGCATACTCGTCTCTTCCATGGGCAGGAGATGTCAGGCCGCTATCGATTCCAACGGGGGACATACGCGTTATTGATGGTAGATGGCTTTCACTTGGACTTTTCATATGTACCGATACCTGAGATGACTAAAATCACCAAGTGTTCTCTCCACAACATTTTGGCTCAATACCTTGTACTGTCCCTCGTATAAATGTATATTTCCTACCTCACACAAAAATGGCTTTGCGTTTCATTTTTGAAGAGTTTATTACTAAAAGTAATAACGAAAATTGTAATGTGCGCATTTCAAGATATATCTATTTTGCTAGGGATAAACATCGTCATTGAGTTTTGGTCATGATGCTTTTAACAAGGTTCCAGACATATCAGGGCGAGATTGACACCAGAAATTGGCTTCACACATTGTACCCATGTTTGTAATCGAATGCGGACATTCGGCTTGACCAGCGAACGCTTTAACCTATCACCATAATAGTGAGCGAGTGAGTGAGTATGGTTTTACGTCGCTTTTAGCAATATTCCAGCAATATCTCGACGGGGAACACCAGAAATGGGCTTCACACTTTGTACCCATGTCGGGAATCGAACCCTTGTCTTCGGCGTGACGAGCGAACGCTTTAACCACTGGGCTACCCGACCGCCCCCTTTCACCATAAAGTGTACGTTATCTCAGTGGCCATTCGGGTTTAGAATCGGTCCCTAGCAACCAATGTGGTCGTAGGAGGCGACTAAGGGGATCGGGTGGTCAGGCTCGGTGGCCTGGTTGATTGATTGTCATCGTACCCTGACTGCATGGATCGTTGCTCATGAGATCAATCACTGGATTGTCTGATCCAGAATTGATTTTATATACTGGCCGTCGTTTTGTAGCTAGGTTCTTGCTGAGTATGTCGTTAAACAAGAATACACACTCTAACGAATGAGCGAATTAAAAGTAGATGAAGTATGTATTTAAACTAGTGATGTGTCATCCTAACACGGTAAAGGATGAGTATAGCCGTGAAGATCCGGATTAGATCTAGAATTGTTCTTCAGCAACTAATGCTGGTCGTTAGTGGCGACTTACGTGATCGGGTGGTCAGACTTGCTGACTTGGTTGATGCATGTCATCGTATCCCAATTGCGTAGATCAATGCTCATGATGTCAGTCGCTGGATTGACTGATCCAGACTCGATTATTTACAGACCGCCTTCATATAGCTGGAATATTTCCGAAACATAAACAACGTCTGGGGACTTTGATCAAAGAAATCTTGTCACGATATGGCTGATATACTGCCGATTTGACGTTAAATCTTAACACACTCACTCACTAATTAAAGAAATACAAAGAATAATTGAAGAAGGAAGGGGAATTTATTATTCAAAGTTGATTTTGCATTTTAATTAAGGGAAAATCAGATACGGTAGATTCATATTGCAAGACGTCTAAAGAAATACAAAGTAATAATTATTTCATGTATTTATAATGTTGATTTGCTTTAACAATTCGAAAGCATCATTAAACGTCGCTGAAGTCATTTATCATGTTCACCTACACGTACAACTGTGTATGTCTTAATTTCAGGAATATTTTACGAAATTCGAAAACGTCATTTACAACAGAGGGTAATTTGACTTTTAGCTTTCATATTGACAAACAATGTATGTGTGTTTTCTGATAGCAAATGTCATTGGGAGCGTAGTTTCACGGATAACTTCTCTTTTAGATATTTACTCAAAAATGTATCGCCACCGTTATATGAAAAAGAAGAACATATGGAAGTACATGTATGCATGAAGTCCACATCAGTATATATTTGGGGCATGGTATGGTCGGTATATCAAATTGCGTCGCTGTCCTTCAGCTGATCAGGTTTCGGTCTCTCCTCTGCAGCACCATTCCGCTTATTTCTCCCTTCTGGGGCGCTGATTTCCCGGTTTCGGTCTCCCTTTTGCAGCGTCTCTCTGCTGATTTTCCGGTTTCGGTCTCCCTTCTGCAGCGTCTTTCCGCTGATCTTCAGGTTTCGGTCTCCCTTCTGCGGCGTCTTTCCGCTGGTTTTCCGGTTTCGGTCTCCCTTCTGCAGCATCTTTCTGCTGATCTTCTGGTATCGGTCTCCCTTCTGCAGCATTTTTCCGCTGGTTTTCCGGTAACGGTCTCCCTTCTGCGGCATCTTTCTGTTGATCTTCTGGTATCGGTCTCCCTTCTGCGGCGTCTTTCCGCTGGTTTTCCGGTCTCCCTTCTGTGGCATTTTGCCGTTGATCTTCAGGGTCCTGTCTCCGGTCTGCACCGATTTCCAGCTGATCGTCAGGCCTAGTCATGTTAACCTCCTCCAAAGGACGACCAGGACCATCAGGACGTCCTGTAGACGGCATGCCAAGACAGGCACCGATGGTACACGCTATGACCAGCACCATCAGAGTCTTTACAACACCTTCCATAGCTGGAAGAAAAAAAAAAATCTTTTGATTGTCTCTTTCACGAGCTTCAGCTATCCAATAGATTTCACACAATGGGCCACTAGAAAATTTTCGATCTGTTTGAAAAAAAGAACAACATTATTTCAACTTATATTACAATTTTGCGATGGTCAGCAGTAATGCAACCTCAGCGTCGAATAATTTTCAATCTTTCCGACGTTTGTTTTCAGTAAATTGGGAAATCAAATTTGTTTTACTCCCCACTCAGCAATATTCCAGCTATATGACGGCGTCTGTAAATAATCGAGTCTGGAACAGACAATCCAATGATTGACATCATGAGCATAGATCCACGCATTTGGGATACGACGACATGCTTCAACCTATTCAGCAAGCCTGACCACCCGATCCCGTTAGTCGCCTCTTACGACAAGCATAGTCGCCTTTTACGGCAAGCATGGGTTGCCCAAGACCTATTCTACCCTGGATCTTCGTTGGACGTTGGAGTGAGTGGACTAGAGAGCCCAGTTATAATATGAGCAACAAGAATGTCATGACAAAATGTGTACGGGTACTGATAGTCGACGGCAAAAATAAGTGTGACAATCTAGATGTTCAAAAGCTGTGAGCGAGTTGGGTTAAACGCCGCTTTGAACAGTATTCCAGTTGTATCACAGCGTGTCAGCATAATGTGGGAGGAAAGCCCGAAATGATGCAGGTCCTAGACGGCCATCGCTCTGGTTTAAGGAACTGACAACAATTATGACATGGTCTATATAGATATACTACCGACCAAAAATAAGGGAACTAATGATTTGAATGTAGCTATCATTGAGTGTACATTTATAATCTGAACGCAACATCTAATCACAATGAAAGTTCACATCATGCATAAGCAGCACACAGAAGCCAAAGTATGTACTCCCCATTACTTATGGAATTGTGCTTAAAATGTACGAAAGGGAGGGGAGGGATTGGATGTAAATATCCCAAGTTGCCCGCGAATGTGAAGAAAAGGGTAATTTCTCGACTGTTGGACAAGTACCGTCAAACGGGTGGGGCTGCAATGAGACCTATGGCAGGCTCTCATTACATTAATTTCACTATGCAATAGATTCAAATCTGTTCCTGCTAACACTAACGAATTCCGAACAGTAACAGGAAGGCTATTTTCAATATCTACCGTTAAAAACCTTTCTTTCTTAAAGGAAGGCGTCCTGTGAAGGTTTGACCCTTACAGTGTACCATAGTCGGCAAAGATTTGGTGGGCTAGGCAACACCATGGACGGGATGTGCGCCAATTGCGTCAGACCATGTTTACAGACGAATCAAGGTTTTGCCTCCGATTCACACAGATGGCAGCAAACGCTGTTGGCGACAATTCTTGACCATGATCGGTATGGGGGCAGTAGTGTTATGGTTTGGGATGGTATCACACATGACAGGCGAACTGATTTGGTTATTGTGAATGGACATTGACTGGCCAGCGATATCTTGACGAAATTTTGCGCCTTGTCGCTGTTCAATTTGCTAGAATTATCGGCAGAAGTTTTGAACGGCAAGGTGACAATGCCAGACCACGTCGTGTCAAGGTCGTCACCGATTATCTTCGACGAGAAGGCATACGGACTTGGTCTGGCCCGCTAAGTCCCCTCTGATGTGTGCTTGACATCTGTGGGATGTTCTCGGGTGGAGAGTGTACGCCAGTGACCCAGCACCCGCCAACCTGACCCAGCTTGGGGTAGTTCTTCAGGCGGAATGACGGGCAATACCAAGGGCAACAATGCGCAAGTTAATCAACAGTATGCCATCAAGGTGTCGTGCATGTATTGCCCAACATGGTGGACATACCAGATAAACAGATCAACACGACCGAAATTAATTTTACAGACTTCATCACACATTCACTATCTCAACTTCAGTTCCCATATTTTGGTCGGTGGTATATGTGGAGCTTTACATACTGATCAATGTTATCCTTAAACACAACAAATCACGTGACAGACTAAGGTATAGTCTGGAAGGTAATTTAAGGTACCGAAGTTTACTACAATATCTGAAAGACTATTGGACCTACTCCAGTCAAAGTTGGTATGAAATTATTAAACAGTCATACATAACTGGATATTACATTTAAAGACAATCGGTGCATGAATAAAAAATCTGTCTATTTAGCTATCACTATATGTCATCAGCAACCAGACCTGTTCGTCACGGGTGGAACGAGCATTCATTGAAACAGCCATCTGCACAATGCTACCCCTGCGTCACAGGGACATATGACACAGTTGAACCAATCAACTCAACTCGAAAGGGTGCACGTGAATCACGCACGTTGAGACGCCCAACGCTAACACCGTATTCGTGCGTGCGCGATTCCCGATATTGTAGTAAACGTCGGTACCTTAAATTACCTTCCAGACTATAGCAGGATGCCATTTTATGGCGTATTGGGAGAAACAAACATCTCGAATTTTCCATCCCTTAAAACGGATGAACATCTTGACTTGATCACCGAAAGACATGCAAAGAACACGAGGCAGAATAGAAAATACCTTTATATCGTTTTAGCATATAGGATCCATCTTCAACAAAACTAATGTCTTATTATTCGATTAAACTTTTATTATCCAATTAAATTCTTATTTCCTAAATAACATCTTATTCTCAAACGACAGTAAAAGAGAGGCATTTTCTGTTTTGGGCTTCAGAAAATAATAGCACATCGAATTGAACCTTTTTTGCTTTAGACTATGTCACGATATTTAGAGGCCTCTAACCCATCACTACAAGATGCAGTTGCCAGTTGACAGGTTATCAAAATAATAATAATAATTATTATTATTATTATTATTATTATTATTATGATGATGATGATGATGATGATGATGATTATGATTATTAATAATAATAATAATAATAAAACATTTAATACAAGTTAGAGACCCGTGAAGATCCAGGGTAGAATAGGTCTTCAGCAACCCATGCTTGCCGTAAAAGGCGACTATGCTTGCCGAAAGAGGCGACTAACGGGATCGGGTGGTCAGGCTCGCTGACTTAGTTGATCCATGTCATCGATCCCAATCGCTGCTCATGATGTCAATCACTGGATTGTCTGGTCCAGACTCAATTATTTACAGACCGCCGTCATATAGCTGGTATATTGCTGAGTGCAGCGTTAAACAACAAACAAATAAAACTTAGAAAATAAAGTAACAAACAAACCTGTCGAATATCGTCCAGACGCTGTGAATTTTGCAGTCAGTCTCGAGAACGATGATTCCAACTTTAAGTTCCAAGACAAATACCCCCTCATTTATACCACCCTGCATCGTGACTCTCTACCGTAATCTTTGCCCCATCAACATTGGAAATTGCACCCCCGGGTGGGACCACCTCCCGTCATAGTCTTGTGACTGTGACAAGCTATTCCCAAAATAGGCCAATCGTGCTGGAGTATTCATTTCATGAGAGCCGGCTTTACGTTCCGCTAGGAGGGTACAGGCTTGGTTTATGCTTGACTGTCAATGCTTTCAGAAAATGCAAAATTGTTACGAAGTTTCCCACAATATGGTGTTTGCTACACATTGTTGCTATAGGTCATTCACAGATCAAGTCGTGCTGTATTTAATGTATTATTATTTACATGAACGTATCGTCATTGTCACATGGGCTTTCGTAATAACAGTTTCTTTTTGAGTGCATTCACGCACGTGACAAGCACATGTTCATATATTATCACCTATAAGTGCCAATTGGCTTCCCTTGTTAAGTTTCCACCTTTTGTTATCTTATTACTTTGTTGTTCTTACACGTACATATATATGCTCTCTGCATCATAGCATCCATTCACCTGATGAAGGAGTAAGCATATATCCGAAACGTTGTGTTCCTCATAATTGACATTCATAAATTTTCTTCTTTATGTGTATCACTTCTGAATAACCAAAATTAATATATTTGTTTCATTTGACATAATCTTTTCTTTCAGTGTTTTCTATATTGACTTCTTGATAACCCATTGTTTTTTTTAGTTATATTTTTCATTATATCTTTCTTATTGTTTCTATCTTTCTTTCTTTACTTGTTTGTTTGTTTGTTTGTTTATATATTTACTAAAATATGTATATTGTATTGTACTGTATATTTACTACTGTGTCTCATAAGTTAACATTGATGCACTTATTTCACACTGAACACTACTACTACTACTACTACTACTACTACTACTACCACCACCACTACTGGCACAAGTTTTCTCACCACGCCAATACTTTTTAAACAGTTAAGTTAGATATTTGGTTCATTTCTTGTAATGTGTTTTGTTAAGCTGTTGCACGATGATACGAGTATTCACTTTGTATACGTTATGAGTACCCATCGTGTAGTTATGGCATCATTATACAGTTTATGACCGCCTCCGTCAAGGTGGGTCATAATTATCTAGACACCCACTTAACAACTGACAGCATCATCCGACTCATACACTCCTGTATCAGCTCAGCATACTTCACCTGGAGAGATAACTTCTATCAACAAACCCACGGCCTCCCAATGGGATCCCCACTATCACCATTGAAGGAAAAGCCCTGGAAACATCCCAAATAACTCCCCTCTGCTGGTTCCTCAAAGTCGATGACACCTTTGTCATCCTACATCCCAACTCTATTGGACCACCTGAATTCACAAAACCCACGAATGCAGTTCACCATGGAGGAAGAAACCAATCGACAGCTCCCCTTCCTTGATGTACTCGTACAGAAAGATAATAATGACAAACTCCAGACCACTGTTTATCGGAAACCTACCCACACAGATCAATACATACACTATGTCTCCAACCATCCACCTCAAGTCAAGAAAGGAATTATTTCAACCCTAGCAAGCCGAGCTCACAACATCTGTTCCACGAAGCAACATATAACTGAACTAAACCATCTCAAACAAGTATTTATACAGTATAACCTCTATCGATCTTGAGCAACTAGTACAACAGACGATACAGAACATCACCAAGAAATCGCAGAAATCCCCACGTCAACAGTCTGCACCCTTTGTGATCAGCCTCCCAACTTCGGAACCGTTAGCCACAAAAATCCAGAGACTCTTAAAGAAACAGGCCAACATTGATGTAGTTTTCAAGAGAAGTCATACCATTCAGAACACAATTAAAGCCACAGGGAAACCACCATCGAGCCACAAGCTAGAACCATCAGGAGCAGTGTACCACATTCCATGCAATTGTGGACAAGCTTACATAGGAGAAACATCTAGGCCCGTCAAAACCCGGATAAAAGAACATCAAAGCTCCGTCTCCAAATATGACTCTAAATCAGCTCTATCAGACCACATCCGTGACAACCCAAGCCACAGCATTCAGTGGGAGAGAGTCACAACCCTCGCCACCAACCTCAAAGACTTCAAGATCAGGAAACTACAAGAAGCCATCAACATCAAAAGACTCCGGCTATTACATACCCCTGGCGTACCATCAACTCATCAGCCATAATCCCGTTGTTTATATTACTGGCTTCATCCTTTGTTTATGTCACTGACTTCACCGATGATTGTCATCACTACCCTTGTGTGAACATAACAGGCTTCTCTACTCCAGCACAACAATATCTACTCTACTGTATACACATTGCCTCTTACTTGTATATATACTTGCCAACCACACTCCATATATCACTTGCATGATAACTGTGTTAGAACCTACACGGAAACATCGCTCTTAATTGTAATAAAGAAGTTGTGTATCCATAAATTCTTATCCTTACTTAGTACTCCAACTTCTAAATGCCTATCAAAGAAGTCACTGACCTTTACATCAACATCTTCACTAACAATGATTGGAGATAAAAATGTGCTAGATTTAGAAGTGACTCTGGTGGGCTCAACAATAACATTCCGTGTATTTTTTTCTGTGAAAAATTTCGTTTCTTTGATTTTTTCTTTTAGATAATAAATTTTCATTTAAATCACCGACAATCACCATTTTATTAGATATATCCAATGCAACTTCGATAGAATTATCTAAACGACTCTAAAACTGTATAGAATTGTGTTTCGGTCTGTAAACAACACAGAGTAATAAAGGCCCTTGAGGAAGAAATATTTTTATCCATATACTTTCATCAGTCATATTTTCTAGTTCGTGCATTCTCTTGTATGTTAAACACTTAGTGATATATAGCATAACCCCTCCCCCAAAAGCATTTCTATCTTTGCGTATTTGATCATGAAATGATTGCCACAGTTTCATTGTCTACAGATTCATCCAGATGTGTTTCAGTGAAACAAACTACATCATATTCAGACAAATATTCTGTGAGATACGTTTGCCTATTGTGGACACTCCTGGTATTTAAATTGAAGATCGACAATGAGTGGTCAAAATTAGTCATATCACCGGTCAGTGGGCCAGGATTAAGTTCAACGTCCCCTGCAAGCTGTATTAACAATAGGAATACGAGAATTACATTTACATTGCCGAGATAAGCCTGCAGAACACAAAGGCACAGTCGAACGTTACAAGCTTTCACTTCTAGTGATAAAATACAATGCATTATGTCCAGCTCGTTCAAAAGAAACTTTGTGATAGAAGATTGGCATATAACAATTGACACAACCTGTTAGCTGACTTAACACAGCTGAATACCCCGATCGCTATCCCTCTACTTATATTTCGTACTTCATGCCACCACGTACCAATTGAAAAAGGGAGATGGAATGGGATACCTATTTGTGAAAGAAAATGGAAACTGTGTTTTATTGATGATATTGGAGATGAATTTCACTATATTTTTAAATGTCCATATTTTACTAAAGAAAGAATTTTGTATATCCCACCTACATATTCTAAAAGACCTAATATGATTAAATTTCAAAGACTTTTCACTTGTAAAGAGATATCTGTATTAAAAAACCTGTATGTAATGCAAATTGTAAAATCTTCCGGCTAACCACATATCCGCTATTATAATGTGTATTTTGCTGTCATTTTGTACCTCATATGCCGAGGATCTCGGCCCGAGCGTAATAAAGCTTTGTTCTGTTCTGCAACGCTAGACAAACCTAGAAACATAATCCGGGCGAACCGGGACTCAAACCCACAATCATAGGTTTCTGGCCTGCCCAGGGGACGCAACTCTGCACAGCGAATCGCGGCGCCTCAGACGACTGGGACACCCGTGCCCCCCCAAAGAGAGTGGAAGGTCGGTGATTCTATCCCTGGCCCCGTCATACCAAAAGATTGTACTTGTTATTATCCTGCCTGACGCTCGGCAATAAGGGGCTAAAACAAGGACTGGTCGGCTCGGAGTTAGTATACTGTGTCTGGGTGGGGCATTCCTGCAGCGTGGTATCTCAGTGGGCTAGCACTAACAAAATTAACATGCACGTCGCTATATGAGTGCATTAAACTTGAACGCGACGTTAAACCAAATTGTTATTTAATTTTGTGTTTTCATACGTTAAATGAACACGATTTTCCTGTTGTGAGTATTTACTCACACTCATGTGATCTCTTCGTGCTTTGTGCACGACGCTGCTATATGAGTGCATTAATCTTGAACGCGACGTTAAACCAAATTGTTATATAACTTTGTGTTTTCATACGTTAAATGAACACGATTTTCCTGTTGTGAGTACTTACTCACAGTCATGTGATCTCTTCGTGCTTTGTGCACGACTGAGCAGGAGGGTTAATTGAGTAAGGGCGGAGTGATCGCGGTATACCGAGGACGGGGGTCAATAAGATACAGTATGTGTGCATGCATAGTTACACGACCGTTACACTATATGCATACAGTCAAGTCTCGTTAATCTAACACTTTCGTTAATCCGAAAATCGGCTTTATCCGACACACATGATTGGAAGTGATTAAATCAGTGCTATTTGGACCCGTTAATCCGAGAGTCTCGCAGTTGGGAGCAGCTCATGAATTAGTAGGTAAGACCAGGCGCAGTTACACTGGTCACACTTGACTGGTCTGTCTGACGATTGAGTCGTCTGACAAATGGGATGTTTCACAATCTGGAGTGGACCACTCCGACACACCGAGTGTGCAACACATTGCTGAAATCACTCATTAACAGTCTCATTCGTGACCAACTCGTGTTATTCCGGGACAAGCCGAATAGCGACACGTGCCCCTCTCATGGCCATTTTTGCAACCGGGTTCCGTCTTAGCGCAAACGGGCATACCTAAAACAATTGTCAACTCGTCGCGTAATATATTTCCCAATATAATATATATATTTCAGATGCAATTTAAAGTACATCGGGACATGCGGAATAATTCAGTATGATTGAACACATGTAACTGTGTCTTGGGTATATTTTTAG